CAAGATGAGTCTAGGGCCTTGGTGGGCGCATTCCCGGGGGAGGGGGCCCTGGGGGAGGGGGCTGCATCCCTGGAGGGGGCATGCCCATAGGAGTCCCTCGTCCAGGAGGGATCCCCATTGGGGGACCCATAGGTGGTCGCATGCCAGGAGGAGGGCCCATCATTCCTGGAGGGGGTGCCCCTCGGCCCATAGGTGGAGGAGGACCCCCACGGCCAGGCGGGTACTGGGTCGGGGCCCCTGCAATACTAGCTGTGGCGGCAGCTGCAGCAGCCGCAACAGTGCCTCTTCCTTGTGGGGTCATCACCTGTTGGGATGGCCCACCAACCCCACGGACTGGCCCAGCAAGTCCTGCAGGAGCCTGTGGCATGGGAACACCAGCTGGGATTCCTCTACCCGCAGCCCTACCGCAGCCCTACCGATTCCTGGGCCCCCAGCAGCTCCAGCAAGTGGCACTCGGGCAATGCCAGTATCTTTGGGAGGAGGTCCTTCCACTGTCATGGAGACCAGGTTCTCCCCTCGCAGCAGCACCAGACCGAGGACTCGTTTCTCTTCTCTTTCTGCTTGCTTAGAGTTCTTTGGCTTGATCTTCCTGAATTCATCACAGTCACAGAGGATCAAGTTCATATGCTTGTTGAAAGCCTTGAAGGTGCCTATGAAGATCCGGCCGTCTTGCAGGATGCACCTCATCCTGTAGTCAATGTGCTGCAGCATCTTGCTGCTCTTGCCCACCGTCATGGTGGCGGTTCTGATGGTTCAGATACGCGCCGGATTCGCCTCCACAGAGGCCTACACAGGGCCAGTAGCCTGTTTCCCGCCGCTGCTACCTATATGATGTCTTTTAAATAAACTGAAAGTCAAAGATATAGTATAAATCTTAGAACAAAAATTAAGATTAAGCAATATTCAGAAAAGTAGATACTAATTAATTAAAAATTAAATGTTTCAAAACAATTGAAGTAAGAAAAAGTTTTCATGATAGTAAAGAAGTACTAAGTAAAACAAGATAAATACTGGAATGGCAAATAAATGATCAGCACTTCTAACAGTTTGAGGATAGGATATTGCACAAAGTTCTAGTGTATTGTGGACATGCATAATGACCATGACAGTTACTGGTGGCCAGGTGTCACTTGTGGGACTGAACTACAGCTATTTCTTTGAAATCCACCCTGTAGACCCAGAATCATGATCCATAGAGTGGAAGAGAAGTCCATTTGTAGAGTGTACTGATGGAAA